CACCATACAGAATCCAAATTGAATTCAAGGCTTGAGCTCTTTGGTCCCCAAGTCAACAAAAACAGGCAAAGTTATGGAGTCACTCAATCCGCAGACTTTTAAACATACCTTTGCAAAACATCTCCTTTGGGATGTCAGCTGGTTCTGGAAAATACAACTCTCTTCATTATATTTAAGATGAAGACAATTGCAAATAACAATGGGAAAGAAAAAAAAAGTGAGTAATGTGAAGCCCTGGAAAACAGCATCGTAAGGCAAGCTCATTCAAGGAAAAAACCCTCCACAGATTACCTTTTTTTCTTATAGTACATATATATGCTTAATACAGGATTAACACTTTAAAGTCATCACAGAAATATTTAATCTTCTCACAGATGAGATCAATTTTGTTTAGTGTTGTTTTATACAAGACCCATGCAGAGGAGATTTTTTTTTTCTTTTGTCAAGATCTCGAAAAAGCACTAAGAAAAGTAATCAAAATGCTACAACTATGTGACTGTAGTATAGTTAGCTGTGGGGAATGTCATGTACACCATTAAAACTATGGTGTACTATTTAATTTGTAACCTTTCTTTGACTTTTTATAGCTAGGTGAGCAAATAAAAATGTTATTTTAATGAGTTGCGCAACTGTTTTCTAACTCTGCATGTGTCTGAAAAGCTTACAAGTATCAGTAGGTAAACTACCTCACAAACAACAGTCAGAGCCTGACATGTAAACAGCTAACTATACATAATTACATAGCTAATTTCATATTAGGATATGCAGGTTTGAGTGTTGTTGAAAGTATAACATGGTCCCAAGGTATAAGGTTTCTTTCAAAAATGAGAACATAAGGTTAGTGCAGTGATATTAAAATTATCTAAAGACTAAAGTCTCATTCAAGAGAGACTTTTCTGTTAGTTGTCATAGGAAAAATAAAATAATAATCAAAAAACCCCTTCCACGTGTCCACTTTTGTATTAGACACTAGAGAGTAACAAAATCTCCAAATACTTCAGTAGTCAAATTTCCATCCTACAGAAGGCAACTGTGCACCTGCCTATGGGTTCCGCATGATACAATGGGAAGGTTCCAGTTCTTACTGTTGAAGAACTGTGAAGATAATTAATAGGAGTGTTTTAATTAAATGATCAAAATGTAACAATGTGCTGGAATTGTCTGGGATAGAGTTAATTTTCTTCAGTGTCTGGTATGGGGCTATGTTTTGAATTTGTGCTGGAAACATTGTTGATAACTCAGGGATGCTTTAGTTATTGCTGAGCAGTGCTTACACAGAGTCAAGGCCTTTTCTGCTTCTCACCCCACCCCACCAGCAAGGAGGCTGGGGATGCACAAGAAGGTGGGAGGGGACACAGCTGGGACAGCTGGCCCCAACTGACCAAAGGGATGTTCCATACCATATGACGTCATGCTCAGCATATAAAGCTGGGGGAAGAAGGAGGAAGTGGGTGATGTTCAGAGTGATGGCATTTGTCTTCTTAGGTAACTGTTAGGTGTGATGAAGTCCTGCTCCTTGGAAACAGCTAAAGATCTGCCTGCTGATGGGAAGTAGTGAATGAATTCCTTGTTTTGCTTCACTTGCATGAACAGCTTTTGCTTTACCTATTAAACTGTCTTTATCTCAACACTTGCGTTTTCTCACTTTTACTCTTCTCATTCTCTGCTCAATGCCACTGTGGGGAGACTGAGCGAGCGGCTGCGTGGTGCTTAGTTGCCAGCTGGGGTTAAACCATGACAGTCCTTTTTGGTGTCCAACATGGGGTTCAAAAGGTTCAAGATAATGACAGGTTTGTTTGGAATGTGCTAGATTGAATTTATAGCTGTTGTTGCTGTTTGGCTATTAATTGCCAGGCTCCTTTGCTTGCCATGGGGCTTGCTTGCCTTACTGTATATTAGTCTAGTGCTCCTTAGTGGCTGTTTTTTGTTTTTGCTGCTTGCTGTGCTGCTGTACTGCTTATCGTCGGACTCTGCTGTGCCTGGGAACATTTTGATAACAGCAATGGTGATGTGCCGGGACTGGCAGATGGCCAGGGCATTGCTGCTGTTTCTGTGCTGCTGCACTGGACAGCGTGGAACTCCACTATGAACTTGAGTCGAAGGGACTGTGACCTGTGGATGAGTTCACGTGGGAGTAGGACACCCCGAAGTGTCTGTGGCTGTGAAGGAGTCCACACCAGAGCAGGCACATCTTGAGGCATCTGTGGCTGTTGTTACGTCTGCCGCAGCAAGTATATGTCTGAAGGTATTGAGGCCCAAGGATAAGTCCATGCTGGAGAAGGTACACCTCAAAGCATCTGTGGCTGTGGATAAGTCCATACTGCAGCGGGTACACCTTGAAGCATCAGTGGCTGTGCACGAAGTCATGCTGGAGCACCTCAAAACATGTGGCCATGGATAAGCCCACAATAGAGCAGGTACACCGTTGGAGGGACTGCAGCCATGGGTAAGGCCATGCTGGAGCAAGTATATCTCTGAAGGCATTGTGGCCCATGGAGGAGGCCATGCCGGAACAGGTGCACCTCAAAGCAACTGTGGCTGTGGATAAGTCTATGCTGCAGCAGGTATACCCCTGGAGAGACTGTAGCTCATAGATAAGGCTCCACTGGGAGCAAGTACTCCCCTAAGGGACTGTAATCTGTGGATAAGTCCAAGCCAGAGCAGAGGCAAGGGGAGGAGTTCGTTGCAATGTTAAACCCAATGGTCTGGTCCAAAGGGACCAGGTGTGGAGATTGTAATGGAAATGCCCTTAAATTATCGTAACCTGGCATTTCAGCTGCATGTTATAGGAAGTACTATAGCAGGAACCCATTGCTGTTAGTCAGAACAGGGGCAAGCGGAGAAATTCATTGTTAAACCTTATAACCTGTCCCAAAGGGACCAGGGGTGGAGACAGTAATGGATATATCTTTAAATTGTTGTAGCCCATGATTTGAGTTGCATGTTACAGGAATTACTGTAGCAGGAACCACCTAAACCATTGGAGGACAAGTCTTACATGAAGCAGTGCCAGTGCAACAGTGACCCAACCTGAGCTGGCTTTGGTGCCCAGTAACTCCATGCAACACACCACCTCTCCTGTCCTGAGTGATCACCATAAGAAATGGAGCCCAAAGTCATGGACTAAATGAGTTCAATGGACATTTTATGGACATTTCTGGACAGTTTATGGACATTTTATGGACATTTTACAGGGGTGATCCATAGACTAAGGGAACAATATCTGTGTATCATATTGAAGGACGGGAAGGTTGGTGGTGGTTAATGATGTTGTAATGGATAGTGTGGGACCTGAGCATGACGTAAATGGTATGGGATAAGGGGGGGGGAATGGGCTGGTCCTGAGCATGACGTAAATGGTATGGAATAAGGGGTGGAGAATGTGCTGGTTTTGACAGGGATAGAGTTAATTTTCTTCACAGTAGCTGGTATGGGGCTATGTTTTGGATTTGTGCTGGAAACATTGTTGATAACTCAGGGATGTTTTGGTTATTGCTGAGCAGGGCTTACACACAGTCAAGGCCTTTTCTGCTTCTCACCCCACCCCACCAGCAAGGAGGCTGGGGATGCACAAGAAGGTGGGAGGGGACACAGCTGGGACAGCTGACCCCAGCTGACCAAAGGGATATCCCATACCATATGATGTCATGCTCAGCATATAAAGCTGGGGGAAGAAGAAGGAAGCGGGAGACATTCACAGTTAGGGCTTTTGTCTTCCCAAGGAACTGTTACGTGTGATGAAGCCCTGCTTTCCTGAAGATGGCTGAACACCTGCCTGCTGATGGGAAGTAGTGAATTAATTCCTTGTTTTGCTTTGCTTGTGTGCGTGGCTTTTGTTTTATTTATTAAACTGTCTTTATCTCAACCCATGAGTTTTTCTCACTTTTCCAATTCTCTCCCTCATCCTGCCATGGGGTGAGTGAGCAAGTGGCTGTGTGGTGCTTAGTTGCCAGCTGGGGTTAAACCACAACACCTTTCATGTGTCCACACTTTGTATTAGACACTAGAGAGAGTAACAAAATCTCCAAATACTTCAGTAGTCAAATTTCCATCCTACAGAAGGCAACTGTGCACCTGCCTATGGGTTCAGCATGATACAATGGGAAGGTTCCAGTTCTTACTGTTGAAGAACTGTGAAGACAGCTAATAGAGGTGTTTTAGTTAATGATAAAAATTTAACGACAACTTCATTTTTATTATTTACATTTGGTTTTGGTGTAATAGTAGCTAGAACAGTGAAAGTGGCTTGTGCTATTCCACTCAGCTTCTGCTTTGGTGATGAAGACAATGGCTACATTCATAACTGTACGATGTGACATTTAAATTTTTATTTTTAAGATTTTTAATTTTTTTTAATTAGAAACATTTTATGGGGATTATATTTGGATAAATTTTTAATTGTTCTCTATTTCAAGTCTAAACAAAATGACATAAATTGTATTTTTTTATCTTTACTTTTCATATTACTGTGTTAATTTTTTAATACAAGCAGAGTAGATGTTTTTATAGACGAGAAAAATTATCTCATAATTTCAACATTAGGTGGAAACTTTTAAAGAACACTGGGGGATAAGAAACAGAAAAGCACAAACTCATAAATTCAGCTAATTTTCACATATTATATAGTAATCATCTTGCTCTCAAATAGACTCACTGAGTAGTTACCTTTATGACAAACCAGTGTAACAAAACCACTGAATGATAACATGTCTGAACGTAATTTTGGTTTCTTTCAATGCATGTGTTATTACTAAAAATCCTTCCAGGCAAAAGGAGATTCCCAGTGCAAGAGGAATTTTTTCAGTATATATTTTCGTATGTGTAAATATCTATTATAGGAGAGGTAATTTCTTTTATGTACTGCTAGAACTAAGGCAGAACACAAAACTTGATCATTTTGCCAAATACCTACAAACCAGAGAACAAGCATGATTAAACATCCGTAAGATGCAAGTCTGTTCCCATGAAAATCTCACAAGTATTTCCAAAACATTTGAGTCTCACTTTCTGTCAGAAAATCTCACATTGATGGAGCTTCCAGGAGTCAAAAGTCCATGGGTTTTGGCATGAACTGGTTTGGTTTTGGGAGAAACTTTGATCTCAAAATTCTGAAGCAACTGTGAAGATAAACAGGACAAGTATTAGAAAAGCTGCAAAATTACAGATGAAGATTAGACTTTGGAAAAGAGAACATAACAGACCGTCACAAGCAAAATTTCTGTTACCAATTCTGTGGAGTTGAAGTGCTATGATTCCCACACAGGAAAGAAAAAATAGTTGTTACAGGGTAAAGATTATAGTTAAAAATCATTCTCCTATGCTTGAGGGAGGACTGAGCCAGTCCTTTCTGAAGAATTTCCATACAACTAGATTACACAATCTGAGCTATCAAAGAAACTAAAGTCTTTTTCAAACGCTGTGAGCTTCCTCTCTATGTGTTTTTGATTTCAATTCCTTTAATATAAATCAATACGTGCTAATCCAAAACAAAGTAATAAAACGGTCCCAGTCCTATCATACACATTTCTCTTCCTGGGCAGAAGGAAACAAACGAGAAAGCAACTGTCCAGTGCACCAAGTGAAACATCATAATTCAAGGAGCCAAGTATTAGAACCTCTTCTGAACAGAATCACTATAATTCAGTCACACAGGTTACCTATACATTAAACCTCTATTTCCATACACTTAATGAAACTGAGAGAATCAGTTGTAAACATAAATCACAGAAATCATGGGCTAAACCAAACTTCAAGAGATTTATCTCACCCATTTTGAAGCTGAACATAGAATACCTCAGCTGTCCTTAAACTTTCAAAAAGGAAATACCACAACATCCTCAACTTTTCCTACTACTAAATCTCAAACACTTTTTCCTATAAACTAAGCAATCTTCTCTCATCCTTCTCCCAGTAAGCATATACATAACCACCTTTTCAGTGTTCAATGTTTGATCAAATTTTCATCTCATTCTTCTCTCTTTCAAACCTCTCATTCTTGACCTCTCATTCTATCTTCCAAACTTCCTCCAATTTGACTATATTGTCCTTAAAATGCAGCGCACAAGTTTGGTTGCATAACAGTGTTTAGCTGAGGATTTCCCAGTGTTTGGTAAGACTGAGTAATTTAGCTCCTCTTTCTGACATACAATATGCTTGTTAATACACCCAAGAATTACACTGCCTTGTAAAACTTAGCATCATTATTATTGTTGACCGATTTTTTACTACATCCCTCCAGTTTGTTTCTACAGTACTAATTACCCAGCCAGTTGATCAGTAATTTGTATTTATGCATTTGATTTCTTCTCAGGAGCAGTAATTTGCAACTGGCCTTAGTGAACAATTTTGTTGATTCTGGAGCAGTTCTCCATTTTTTTGTAATTCTATACTGACATCCTCTGATTTTAACTTAATTCATGTCAGCTTGATATCCTATGCAAACTCTAAAAGTATTCTCTAATCCATCATTTACACTGTTAATGAAAATACCAAGCTAAATCAAATGCAGGACAGACTCTTAAAGAATTTTAATTAAATGTTTTCCGAGTTCAACAGCAAATATTTCACAGCTACTGCTTCCAGCTATTTCTTTTTTCAAACCAGTTGTGCATTTTATAGGTACTTCATCTGGAACACAGTTTATTAATTTAATTGTAGGAACAATGTATAGGACATGTAAAAATACTTCCTGAAGTCAGAATACATGGTTTATTTTATATCCACCACACTGGGTAAGTGATCAAGTCAAAGAAAGAAATCGGACTGATCTGACACAATTCCTTATTGATCAGCTCCATGCTTCATGTGTTTCTATTTTTAAATCACTTAAATATCATCTTGATGCTTGTAAATAGGTTGTGTGACATTTCATTGTAATTTCTTTCCAGAAAACAAAAGCAGGCTCTCTATTACTTCCTTGATCCTCCTTTTCAAAATGATGCAAGCATGTTTGTTTCATCCACTCTCCTGAGAGTTATCTCACTCTGAGTTCCAAAAGACAGATGCTAATTGTTCAGAGATTGCTCTAGGAGTTTACCTAAGGAAATTGTAAGGCAAATTCAATCAAGCGTCGCTTTGAATACATATAATGCACCTAAATATTTTTATAGTTAAGTAACTATGAATAGTTTCCAAATCTTCGAGTTTTTTGATTGCACAATCTGATCTCAGTATTTGAGCTAACGTGTGTCTTGTAAATGACAAAAAATGCAGCAGCTGTTGGGAAAGCTTTCTTTAGGATATGAAGCAATGGAAAACAATATATATCAATGTGCTAACTACTTACATAACTGTAAATTATTTATATCTAAAATTAAAATAAAGTTAGAAGAAATAACAAGAAGGCACAGAAAACCACAGAACACAGAAAAATTCTATTTGTCATAACACTTTGTCAGTACAAGGATATGAAAACTATTTTACATCTTTAAGTACTGAATTCTTGGTAACTAAAGTACTGAAACTGAGCAGGTAGCCATTCTAATATACATTAAGAAAGACTTCCAATTTGCTTACAAAAACTGTCTGTACTAAATCCATATATTTCTTTAACAATCTTACCTTTAGCTTTACCTCATTTTTACTATAAAACTTTTTTCTTCTGCAATGTAGTTTAACTAGGATGCTACATTTCAAGCATGATTATTTTCAATTTTTTAAGCCTTTGCAGGATGAATATGCTAGACATCACTCCAAAACAAAGTTTTTGAGGATTGTAAGATATCCAGAAATGGTATATATAGAAAAGAATCACACCAATACATTTTTATTCTTGTAATGCTTTCACATAGTTCTAACCTGAATCAGTGCAAGATGAATTTCCAGCTCTGCAATTCTTTTTCCTATACAACTGCGAATGCCATAACCAAAGGGGATGGAACCAAAATTGTCTACTCTGTCCAAATTATCTTTCCTCAGCCAGCGCTCAGGTTGGAACTCATTTGCCATTGAGAAATTTTCTTCGCTGTATGAAGTAGTATAATGACAGAGTGCCAGCTGCGTCTGAGGAAATAAATCATGTTTAGATTTAGCTAACTCAAATACAAATAACAGAATAATAAAGTATTTGTAATGACTGTAATTTCTGCAATATGGTGTAATAATAAAAATTAAGCATCTTTGAGTAATTCTAGAAGAAAAAAGGATACCTTGAAAATCAGATCCCTTTCTCAGCTGGTCAAATGAAATAATCTTCAAATTGTTTTAACTGTTGCTGGATGTATTAGACAAGATGCAGTGGGGAAGGACATGGGAACAAAAGTCATAAGTATTGGGAGTTGTCTCAAAAAGATAGTATGAAAGAAAGGGAGAAAGAGATACAAGACAATGGAAAAGGAAAAAACGGAGGATGGGAAGGAAAAAACCCCACAATACCTCAGGAAAAAAAACAGCAATAAATTGATATCATTATGTTTCCAAATATTTGGGGGGGGAGTGGGATAAGTGTGGAATAATATTTAAATAAGTATATTACGAATTAAGAATCCTGACTGTTTTAAAGCTACATTGCTCTAACACATAAGCAGTGTTATTTAAAATAGAGCCATACAGTTCTACCATGATCTCTGTGTAATCTTTGAATAGTATAAAGGAAAGATTCAAAATTTAAAAAGGAAATTAGACTCTTTCTACAAAGGGAATTAACAGGCAAAGAATCAGAAAACTTCAAGAATAATGAAATTCATGTTTTTTTAATCAAATTGTAAGATTGCACAGAGATGTTATTAATAGACTCCACTCTCAAGAATATTAAGAACAAGTCACAATGGTAAATTCGATTAGTGGGTGAGGACGCAAATCTAAAAAAAACAACAGCAACAAGTCAATTCTAAAATCTGGTTTTGTCATTTAAATGGGCATTATTGAAACACTTTCCTCTTAATGCTCTGGTTTGGTGAAACCTCTTTAAATCAATGCAGTGCATATATATTGCAACAGATCACGTTTTATACACAAAAAATTAAACTGTGCTCTCTGCAGAGGAATGCAATAGAACCTACCCCTTTAGGTATCAGGTACCCTCCAAGGATCAAGTCTTTTTGGGTTACTCTTCCATTTCCTGGCAATACTGGATATAACCTAGAGACAAATATTTATGAGAAGTTCAACAGTAATAACTAATACAATTTAAAAAGTTTAGATTCCAATTTGCATTCACAAATATGCAATATGCATTCACAGCAAAAATTTTTTTAGAAGTACAGAACAATTTGGAGATTCACAGACTTTAAATCACCTGTGAGAATATGATTAATACCTGAGACAAGTTATTAGTCACTAGTAACTGGAGGTTGAGCTATTTGGTCTATATATTTATTTGCTTTACGCATGTACAAACATGCAATTGACTGGTCAAGCTGGAGATGTTTTAGCACAACTGGGAGCTGAAAAAGCCTTGTTGACGCCTTCTCTAAAATCCTCTTACTCACCTCACAATGAACGTTTGGTATAAGCATATAAAAAAAACGTCACATGCCTTCAATTCAGGTCAAGAAGCTTAAAATTATTCTAGTGGCACTGCAAAGTACCAGTGTGGGGGAGGAGGTTGTTACAGTCCATCATACAGGTTAATACTTAAAAGGGAAAAATGAAGCTTTCAATTACCTACCTTAACAGACATGTCCTACATAAGTGATACTACTTCTACCACACTTAAAAACATTAAATGTTATATAATCTATCATATTTCATTGCTTAGGCATCCTTGAACACAATATAGCTACAATAAATAAAAACAGAAGCAGCAAATAGCAGTCAGTAACAACAACTAAATACAAATGCTAGCATGGATTCAAAATCCACTCAAAATCCAAAACGACACAGAATTAGATTTTTTAATTAATGATTGCAGTTATCTGCTACTTACCTCAAGGTTTCTTTCAGCACAGCTCTAATCAAAGGCAATTTCGGGACATCATCAGCAACAGGAACTTGGTCTTTCCCCAGCTTACTGACTATTTCCTCATAAACACGTTGCTGAACATCAGGGTGCTTTGCCAGCAAGTATGTTGCCCAGGACAAAGTAAAAGAAGTCTAAGGAAGAAAACACAGACATCATCATCAAGTCCAACAAGATTAGATTAAACAATAATTCCAAGCCAAGAAAACCAATCAGTTTTCAACTCTGTGTTTTATACGTTTAAAGTTATAAAACAGACTGGCAATGATTCACATCTGGACTCAATGTGATGCTGTCAGATTCCACCATCCCCTCCTCCATCCCTTTTCCAACTAAAAATCCCCCACATATCAAAACAAACCATGCTGATATTTTCCAAGTGAAATATAAAAAGCAACAGAAAAACCAAATGCAAACAAAACTACATAAACAATACTGAAACATAAACACTCTAAACAGCAATGGATTAAGTTAACTGTTAGTTTTCAATATTTGTTTAACTCTTCTTCCCAGCAAAAACATTTTACAGGAAACAAGATGAAAGAATACAACTCAGAACATTACCAATCCCTTTTAAGAATATGGTGGTCTCCTCATAGCATCCACACAATACAATTGATATTATCACTACTAAGATTATACTTTATCCTTTGGTAAGCAATGCTACACCACAACTGGCATTTTCTACGTCTTGAAAATTCCCACTTGACTGAAATTCAGCATCCTGTTGAAAGCTTGCTTAAGGAAGCATGAAGAGGAGCTTCTATATTTAAAGTGGTCCCAAAATGTTAAAATATACATGCACCCCCCGCCCCATTAATGATTCTAATAATCAGCAAGGCTCCAGAAAAGAGGTACTGTGTGAAAACTCATTTAAAAATATTTTGTACAAAGAAAGAAACAGAACACAAGGCAGGAGGCAGTTCAACTTTGAGCACAAGATGATTTAAAGGAAGCCATTATCTAATCCTCTTTCACCTTCAGCTGGAAAAACTGCACTTCAACATTTGTGGTTTAGGACACGCTCTGAGAGCATGAACACACTCCATCTGTACTAACATAAAATTAAGTAGAGTATTTCAACTCTTTTGCAATCTATTCATTTAACCATGTACCTGTGTTTAAGATACCTGGATTTCAGGTTCTATCCCATTCAAATGCTAGACAGACAGAGGACATTTTTCTTCTACTTGTCAGCTGCAGCCAAGACATTAAGGTCAAGCAAATGGCCTTACCTGAGCCCATTTCCCTCCCTCCCATCATTGAAGACAGAAAGTTTACCATGAAAAATGTATTTTCAGTGTTCCTGAGTAAGTATGGGAGAGAAAGTAACAATGCAATCATTCTGCTCCTTACCTGTGTTGTTGTCAGTATTGTACAGCGTTTAAGAGAGAAAAATTGTAACTTCTCTCCTAATTTTCCTGAATTATTTTAAAATGTTTTTTTTTTCAACTTGTATCACAAAGATAGACAACCAGTTTCGCTTTCTGTGCAGGAAACCGTTTTATTTTCGGCTTCTCACTCATTAGCACAACAAAGCTTAAGGTTATAAACAATGTATGGATAAAAACTCCAACTTCTGGAAATGTCTTATTTTGGGCTTACATTTAAGGTCAATTTAGAAAGAATGCAAGTTCATCATGACAGTGACCTTTTATGTCTTGTCTTCAACTGGGGTATAATGTTAGACATATCATTCTCAGAACTTTTCGTTTTTTCTTTATGTAATATTGAGTGGCTGTCCCGTGCTAAAATGCAACCCTGTTCTATTCCTCTCAGAGCTCAGAAGAGCTGGCAATTCTGACAGCTGTACACAGAACTCTGACACAAACACTGTTTCTTCCTAGGTTCCCAGCTCTTTCATAACCTCTTAAAAATTAGCACTGTTCCAGGGACAGCCAAAAACTGCCTTACAGTTTTGTTGAAAGCTTTTATAATCCTCCAAACCTCTTTCAGTTTCTATGATGAAATGAGATCTGAAGTGACAGTAGTAGGAGAAAAAAGATTCCCTCAGTTTCTGTCTTGTACTTGGAAATGAGGAAATCAGACGTACCATCCTCTCACAAAAAGATTGTTGCCAGCTGAGAAAGCTGAATCAAATGGAAAGAGAAAATCTTATTGGCATGAACTTGAACATTGTCCTTTTAGTTTAATGAAAACTCTGTCACATGCTAAAAATGGAAAATTAATGGTCTGAAAGATTAGAAAATGAATGGGATGAATAACTGTGCTTTACTTAAGAACCAAACATCGCTAAGTGCTCCGAACTCATAAGCCCTTGGGATATTTAACCAATGAAATAATCTTCAGCACATGAATAAGCTTTACCTATGCTCCTTATTCTGGAATTCAAAAGTATTACTGCTGGGGGTGTGTATTTTCTTTAGAAACCTTACAAACTTTCTTAAATCAAAAAAATCTGAATTCAATTTTCCAGAGAGGTTTTTTTTACTTTAAGGCTACTTTACTTTTTTACTTATTTTAAGTAAAAATTAAGTAAAAATTAAATTAAAATAAAAACTTTGAAAAACTTTATTTTAAACTTTTCTACTGTAAGACTATTAAAGACAGTCCTACATAGCACTTTATCGAATTCAAATATTTCTTTTTAAAAAATTGTTCAGTTACAATCATTTACCGTAAGTGTTCACTGACATTCTAAATAACTCCATATATATTGTATATACAATAAAACCCCTCATTTTTATCTTTTCTTATTCTTCTGATTGTCATGCTGCAGTCAATACTAAGCTACACTGATTTCATATCATAGGAATGAGCGGAGGGGAAGATATATACATGACCTTAATATTTCTTCAAATGCTCTAGATGACAAATCAGCAGAATAAGGAAAGATGGCCACTTAAAACGCTTCACTAGGCGTTAACATATTGTATACACTAGCTTCATTAATACTAAGCCCATTACCACAGCTCTTTTCCTCAGACTGGCTGTATGTTGCCAGCACAAGCATGGATAGAGTGAACTTATGCCTTACCCACATTAGTGCTGGCCTATCACCCCCTCCTAATGGACTTGAGCAGAAACCAGGCATCTGATCCATAATAAGTGTCCCAGTTGATTTAATTAGCCAGACGTGAAAATTCTTTACCAAGTTCTACATATAAGTCTCTGATGAATTTTTTTCACACTAACTTTCATCAATCTTTTCTATTGTGGTCTATCTAAAGAAGCACAAATACCAACCTGATACTCAAACTAGTAAAAGAAAATGTATGACATTCAAGCTGAATGTAAAGACAATTGCTATCTTATCTGTTTAATGAGCTGTGGAACTGACTCCCAAATGATGGGTTCCTGTAAACCACAGCTAGAACAGAACACTGACTTCATTCCAGTAGAGAGATTACACAGTCCTGTAAGTATTTCTATCACTTTAAAGATGTCATGATTTAAATGTGTCAGAAATTATGTCCTTATAAACATAACCTCCCTGAAGATAGCTACAAATGGTACTGGTTTACAAAAAGAACTGTGCACAAGAAAAATTACAAAAAACTTACTGTGTCCACTCCTGCCAGAAGCATTTCAGTCATATTGGCATAGATCTCTTCCAAAGTAAATTCCTTACTCACTAGGAGGTATGTAAGTAGCCCACCATTCACTTCTTTTCCTTGGTCCAGCTGAGACTGAATAGCCTTCAATTTGTTGTTAACATGGATTTGACCTTTGGGATTAAAAAAAATTATTATTTTTACTTTTATCTTTCTGCTGGTTCCATTCAGTAATGACATTTCTCCCTTATGCTACAGTACCTAGCCAAAAAAAAAAAAAATTAAATATTTGAATCTATTTTCTCAGGTAATAGATAGTAGAGTGGTGGTGGAGGTCCTTGGATACTCATGGTAAGGAAAGGCTGAGTTGACAGGAACCCTGGTAGCTCACAGCATGAGAATGCTGAGCACAAAGAAAGGACACAAGAGACCATGGTTTCTGACAAGGGAGCAAAGGAAGCTCAAGGTCAAGTTTTTACACTTATGTGGCTTGTTTTCTCATGACTCTGCAGGAAACAGTGGACTCTGCAGAGCATGCTGCAACTTGGCGCACAGAGGCTGCTACAAGATGTTAGCAGCAACCAGAAGGTCAAAGCCACAGAACTGAGTTACACTGAAGACAAAGATGAGGAGCATTAAGTAACAACAAAAATTGAAAAACTTCAGTGAATGACATTTTAGGCAGTTTCACTCATGGTCCCATTTATACTTCAGTGACTACAAATAGCATCTTCAGTGAAGCAAGGGTTTTAAAAAGAGAAAAACTCAGAAAGTTAATGCCATGCAGAATGAGCTTACAAAAAATGAACTAGAATCAACATGTTCCTTTATGAAACCTACACAAATACACACATCACATACAGTGATTTTCACCACTTAATTCCTTTTTCACAAAGGGATTAAACGAGGAAACAGCATGACAACAAGTTTCAAACGGAACAAAGTCCTCAAGGACAGTTTTTCAGCTGCTGTTAGGATAAAACTGAAGTCTGATGTTGTTTTTAACCCACAAAAAGGAACAACAGTACCTTATCGTAGGAAATAATTTAAAAGTGGCAGAGTAAAAAGTATGTGTTTCACAGAAAACACACACACCTGTATCAGCATTAAATGGATTCTCTAATGCCTACTATAGGTACAGAACAATACATATTAAAAATTAAGCATATTAGACATATTAAAAGTTAAGAAACTAAAGAATCTACCCTCAAGAATATGTACAGAGACCTACCTAGACAAGTAGTGCCAATAAAATAAATTTTAAAATGCGTGCAGCTTTCTGACATTAGAGAAGGAAAGAGGGTTCAGGTTTTTATAACACTCCAAAATATTTAAAAATACATATATATTGCAAAGAAAATTCCTTCTTCTTTCTTACATGAAAGCTGATTCATAAAGTAGTCTGGACTACTTTAATTACAAAAAAACGTGTTGTAGTACAGCAGTGTACTTCTATGTCAACTTACATGCTTGTATGTGTATATATAATCTTCACAAAGAGTTTAATTGCTAGAGTCAAAATTTTTAACTTTCTAGCCAGTTTTACTGGTGATTATTTGTCAGCCTCACTGAAAACTTGCTGAAGTCAGCAAAACTACCCTCATTAAAATTTGAGTGGCTTAAGATAAAGCCTTGGCAGAGAATTCGGACCTGGCGTGAGGACTGGGTGCGGAAACTGTTGAAGACAAATAAAGAAACAGCAGTATAGAACAGGGGAATATTTAAAGTGTACTGGTAAAATTCTTTTTCAAGAGAGTATTTTTTAAAACAGTTCCGTTGGCCAGCCTGCATTTAATATGAAACTTACTTCTGCCACAATGTCTTCTTGTAATTTTAGAAGAGAAATGCAGCAAGTCCTGTTCAAACAGACACAGAACCTGCAGAAATACAGCTAAATTTTTCTACTACTAAATCTTACTAAATTTGAAGAGTCCATCCCAGGATCTGCAGAACTCTCTCCAGGGTTTTGGAATAAGCGGACGAAGCCATTTGGGAATGGCACCTGCATACATAGTGGTCTTAAACATACTAAACATCAATTCCAGAGCCTCAATATATTCAACAGTCTGCTGTGGGATGTTGTTTTCCAAGCAGCCCAACCGGCATTCATACAGAATAGTTGCCACACCTGCACATAGGAAATAAAAGAATTTGCTATACACATGCATATACACGTATTAATAATATAAGGAATTAAAATACTAACATTATGGAACTACCTTCCAAAGATGTTTAGTTATTATTACTGCAGTTGGGAGCAGATAAAATATAAACTTAAAACACAGTAAAAAATCCCAGCTAAACATTGTAGCAAGACAGTGGTTGCTATGTCACTAAGGCTCAGCATGAGAAGACAGCCAGGAATTCCACCACAAGTAGAGCAGCCCTCCAGCATGTTTGCTGTGTTTTGCATTGCACCACAAATCCTGGGCCTGCCATGCTGGCCTCTGAACACACAGGGATGCAGAAGTCCAAAGACATTTCTGATAACTGGCGATAACTCAGGAGTTTCTAGCAGTGCCTACACCTTTCTTCGTCATAACCTGGTAGTAAATGAATAATGAGCCTGCATAAATGGATAAAGAGCTTGCACTCTAGACAGTGATCTTACTGCACACAATATATTCCACGTGGCCCTGAAAAACAGCAAGTGTGTGACACTGCTGCAAGTGGCAATATTGACTCATCTCTCGTTCCTGACTTGCTATCATTTCCTCAGATGTTTCTTCTGCAATATTGCAGTGACCCCTACCAGAAATACCCCCCCCCGAACAGTACTTTATATTTTTTTTCATTAAATAATTCTTCTCAACTCTGGGTCATTCCTTCCATTTATCAAGTTAATTCTCACTCATCCGTTAGCCCCTGCAATTTCTCAGCTCAGTTTTTATAAACATACCCCAATTATTTAATACTAGACAGAACTCAGCCAGAAGCTGCCCCCCTGGAGTTAGCCAAATGTTCTCTCAGTTTGACAGCAAATCATTTTTTAATTACATCCTGAACACAGGTTTCTAGCAATTTTTCCTCCCAACTTTCAAAATCTAGATCATATTACCCAGTTGATTTATGAAAATGTCATACGGTACTGTATAAAAAGCATTCTTACTATCTAAATATTCTTATTTAATGATTTTTCTAAAATCCAGTGGGGCAATTAGGTAATTTTAAAACACATTTAGATAATTTCGCAAAGCCATTTGCATCAATTCAAAAATTTTTAAATAATTTTTGTGCTTTAAAATTCATTAGTTAATAGTTTGTCCACATTTTTCCATGAAATATTAGATTAACTGTTAACTAGATAATTAGAGCAACTGGTCTATTAACACTCCAGTCTCTTTTTTCTCTGTTTTTCCTATTAAAAACAGGTACACTAGATAATGATGTTTAACCTTAATCTTGCCCTCCATCAAACTCTCCATAAATTGTCGTGTGTGTGTATATATATGGATAGATATTTTAAGAAACTTTTATTTTTCCCTGTTCTTTGTTTTGTATTTCTTCTTTATTGACAAAAATAATTTTAACATCTGGCTATTTCCAACTCACTCTTCTTTCCGTGATTTTCCTCCCTATGAACATATTTTTCCGTGCCTTTTATTTCTCTTGTGCCTCTTTCAGCAACTGCTAGTTCTTAGGCATTCTTTTGCTCTTTACATGGTCCTTTCAAAAAAAATCTAGCACATTGGTTACCTGAACAATTGACAGTGTAAGTTAATTAAAACTGCAATTCATATAGGAAATAAGTGCATGCCAGGCACAAGTTATAAATGAAAAGCTAAAAGAACATAAAGGATTTAAACTAACCCATCAGTTAAAGAGAATCTGTAAACTCAGAGTTTAAAATTTCATAAAATTTGTAACTCTTAGTTTAATGCCATTTTTAGACACTATTAATGTAGAACAGACTCAGGTTAGTCTACCAAACAGGCAGCCAGCCATTTGGTACAGCATCTTTATAGGAGAGCAATTTGGAAGTACTTGCAAATCTCAAATTGTTCAGCTGCCTCCCAGCAAAGAGTGACAATGTTTTTAAAAAGCACTACATATATAACAAGATCAGGTTGTATATGCAATCAGTTAAAGGAATGTATGAAATATGAATCACCATTAGATTTCTGTAAGAACACAGGAAATGCCATACTGTTGCAGGCTGGAGTTCCATTTTGCATTCCCTCATTAACGGTAGCCAGTGGCAGATGATTTTCAGGCAAGCGTAACTGTCACACACTTGGCATGTGCAGGCAGGGGAAAGCAGTATCTTTTCTCACATTAAGCTATGAACAGAATTTAGATACATCACACAGTGACTCCCCACACCAAATTTGGCCACTATATTGTTAAATTAATGTCTTAGAAGTCACAGTGTTAGAAGGTCAACACCCTTACTCTTGAGAAATTAATACAGAAATATGGAGTACTGAAACTCCTCAGGGCCTTGATTGTACGTTTTACCTATATACCAGCACTTCCGCAGGAATTGTCCCTTAATACAAGGTATCATGTCTTTGCACTCTACATGTAGAGGAATTCTACTGATACCTACTGCACTAAGCAGGAAGACACCTGAATGCAGAATATCAAGCTTCACTTTTCAGATTAATCACAATGGGGCACTAGTCATTTGACAAAAATGCCTAACCATAACCACACTGCTTTACATCCATTTTCTTTACAGGTGTTGTACAGTCTGGGCTTACCTTCCATTGAATACTTGAAGAAAAGGTTGTTAACATTGGTCACTGTTTCCCCATCGTCCTCTTGACTTCTGAGGGTGTAGATTCTTTTAATTAAGTCTGCGATAACTTCATTGACTCCTTCAGAGTAAACAGCCACATCTTTGGGTTTCAGAATTTTTTGCCTCAGTACACTTCTCATTTTTAGCCATTGTTCCCCCTCCCTAGAAGAGATTATTAATAATGTCTATCCACAATTTTCCTTAATAGTCATCAGCTGGGTAAGAGCTCCACAACTGTTTATGACTTTTCATGTCAAATGAAAGCAAGTGGTGAAATGAAAATGATGATAATGTGTATTTGGTATTATGCTCCTACATTTTTATTCTGTATTTATTGCATGTACTCATTAAATTTCAGTGTTGCAACATGTATGTACATGTGTAAGTCAGTCTCTGGTTTGAGTGACAACACTTGTCCACTCAGTGTTCTGAATTTGACAAGTGTCTCTGTATTAGTATTTTAGTTGTAGCTAACACAAGGAATTAGCAAAATTTTCTTATTAAAATTACTGTAAATAAATATGTGAATGCATAGTCTGAAAAATTGTTTTTACCTAGAATTGGTGCTTAATTACCAAAGAAAGGTATCTCATTCAGATCTGACAAATCAATGATTTAAGCTAGTACCATAAATTCCATCACTGATACATCACTTTCAGTTACCCTATTTCTAAACCTACAAAGTAATCGGAGAGCAGACCTAGCTATAGAGAAACAATTTACAGCTAGATTCTCCTTTAGCTGAGCTATGCATTGAAATCTTTGTGTTCAAGACTAAAAATCTGAACTGTAGCATCTGCATGCTTCATGAGCGGAGTATTTGGGAACAGTGGTTCCACAGACATCTTTCAATTCCTTATGAAGACAGGCAATTGTCTTGTATGCATTTATTTTAAACTGCTATGTATTTCCCATTGAATTTTTCACCTGGAGCAATGCTGCTGCAAGGTACAGAAACTTATTGGCCAGCAAAAGAATTTAATCTCTTTAACAGACATTTTCTGACTACCTCTTGATTTAAGATCTCATTTCACAAAATATCAGGGAACTGTTACTTTGACTCTGAAATGCAGCTTAAGATTTAATAATGTTTATATGCAAGGTAGCTTACTCCACATTCAAACTACACATCATTACCATGCCTTTGAAAATTTACAGCAGAACAGACAATTCACCATAAATTCCTACCCTCTTCCCGCCCCTAGACACACAAACTTTCCCACACAGTCCTTCTGAAAATCACTAAACTTTTACAAGGAAACAAAGAAAATGAAGGAGTAACAACACTTACGCAGAAATAAGTCCCACGGCTCTCCCTCGTAAGTCTCTGTATTCCTGCCAGGATTCCATGTTAGCTCTTTGTGGTGCTCTACCTTCTGCTCGGAGGACTTGAGCAACCATATCTCGATCTGCAATGGATACAACGAACTGGGGACCAAAGTGAGACTTGAAGATCTTTCCATATTCCTGAGTGTGTTTTTGCTACAGTATCACCAACAAAGAGAAACAGAAGTAAAGTATTACTAAGGAAAAATATCACAAAAGTAAACTGACAATTTGTTATACAGTGAATCAATCTATCACATCTAGAACTTGATCCCCAGCCTTCCAGCCAAGGAATGGTTTGATATGTCAGGAGAAAGCATCTAAGCATTACTGTGAAATATTCACAAGGGAAACAGAGAGGTCACACCATGACCGTTCAAGACCTCTGACTGAAAAGATCCAAAGCTCTAAGGCACAAAGCAGGAGTGAAACCAAATACTGAGAAGATGATAGGGCTTGAGGCACTTAAAAATACATCCCTTCAGATCAAAAAGGTTAGAAAGAATGTTTGAAAAAATTATAAACATGGAGGTAAATATGGTGAAATTAACAGTATAATACAAAGGTATAGTAATTTATTTTTAATGTCTTTTGTAAATAAAGACTTACTCTACCACTTTATTCTTTACAAAAAACTACTTAGAAGTTTCTCACACCTAACCAAGGACAATGATAGCACAGCAGCCTAGTAAAAAACTGCATTTTGGGACAGCTTCATCAGCAGTGAACTTTAGAAAAACATGTTATTTCTGCAAAAGGAAGGGAAAGCTGAGGTCTTATTCCTGGAGTGAGGTTTATTTAGTGGCTGATCCACAAGTTGTTTAATACAATCTGGAGGCAAGCAACAGGGAATTAAGAAAGAGGATTGGAAAACAATAAATTATGTATAAAAAAACCCTGGAAGTTTTCCAGTAAGATTACACTATCACTGTCCCATGAAATCTTACTGATTATTTCAGTCAAATTTCATTCTGACATGCTCATGAAATGAAACACCCAACTCCGACAAATTCATTTGGAGTAGAGGTACCTCATCATTTTAGGGGGGAAAAAAGCCCGAACAACTGCAAAGCAGTTGTTAAAGAGACATTATTAGGACTTTAGATTTAAGAGCACTTTAAATTTTAAAGCCTTTATTTCAGGTTAAAGTAGCAAGACAAGTTAAACTGACCAAAGTTTAACTTTGATAAGTTACCTGCATCTAATCCAAAGACATCTGCTTGCAGAGTTAGTTTGATTATAAATCAAAGATCTTTGATATAACTACACTAGTGAAAGTCTAGTATTGACCTAAGATTAACTTAGGAGAAATATTTATCAATCTTGGTTACAGAGATAAATTGTTTAATTGGCAACAATAAGTCTAAGACACATGAATCACTCTACAGCATATGATACCAAGTGCTAATAAAAATGTAACTCTTTTTGCCTGGCTTCCAAATAAAACAAGCGTTGTGCAATTGTGATCTCTGCCAGTCTTCTCTTAACTACTTTTTGAACACCATGGCCAATTTCCGTCAAGTTTAACAGAGAGTTAAAGGTCTCCTACAACTATATTCTTACCATTTTCAAAAATCAGCATCTGGATTCAAAGGAGACACACGTATTAGTCACCCTGATGAGAGAAGGGCTACAGTAGGAGCTCAACTGTTATCATTTCTGCTTGGTCTGCTGTTAACCAAACACCACATGCAGACCAAGGTATGAACAAGCACTCCCAAAACCCAAAGTACCTCTTGCCTTGGAGATATTTTAGGGATATTGAAATTGAACTTGGAGAGAATTGAGAGCATGAGTCTTTAAAGGAAAGCATGAGTTGGGAGATAAGTGCTACAAGGAAAATGCAGCGGAGTCAGGGGGATACAGGTCACCAGTCACAGAAAAACATGTGAAACAAATTTTGCTAATTCTGGAGCAGCCTGTTTTTTCCACTGATGGTGAGGTTCACATGGGAGGATAAACTTCAACAAAAAATAACTCAAGTGTCAAGCCATCCAATCAAATAAATGAAATATTAGTTTTAAACCATAAATGGGCAAGGACAAGGTATTTGGACATCTCTCGCTTTCAACAGAATGATGTTCAGTGTATCAACTTCATGTTTAAAGGAATGCCCAGAATTTCTCTTCCATATTTTCTATCACAACATGGGTTTTCTTTCCCTTGTTCCAAACCTTAAAAATACTACACTTTAATGTCTCACATACCACTCTAACACCAGGCATTCCTTCACACACCATAACGTCAAACTGCCAGCATCCAAACACTCACCCCTCACCTTTCTTTTCTTTATACTTGCATAGTAGTGATGAGACAAAAGAGATCTAACACCATCAAATTAAAAATACTTTCCCTTTGTCATAATTGTTGTAGGTATTACTGCTTTGGCCAGGGCTAACTGGAATCATGTCACTGAGAACTGAACCTCCTTTGTAAAAAAGTGCTCGGCTTCCCTACCCTTTCTGCATATAGCGTACAAATATCTGTGTGCACCAAAGAACATCGTTTAAGTAGCTGTGCTGGTTACTAAAGGGTGTCAGATTAATTCATTCCTGATGTTCACTGTATTGTTAAATTTAACAGACTATTATTAATCCGGTTAATGCCTATTTGCATCCACGCATATATGCAAACAGGGCATCCATGACTTGTCAAGTGATTTTTGAGACTCTAAACAGAATAAGAACTAGTATCATATTACACCTCCACTTTATCCTTCCTCCCGCTTTCCTTTCTATGAATAACATTCATTAAAGAAGAAAATACCCTTATCAGCTAGTGGTAGTGAAAAGCATATACTATTTGTGTTGTCTATTATTCCTTTTGACACTTAAATAACTTTCATTTTGACAGTGAAAGAGCAGTGAAAGCTTGAATTCAATGGTAGTATTTCTTCAGCATTATGATACTATGGTAAGTGCCTCCCAAATTCTGTGCACCACCACAGAGGTAGAAAAAAAAAAGAAATACAACAAAAAGCTTTAGCAATCAAAAAGTTTCATCTGCATGTGTCTTGATTAGCAAGCAATTAATTTGAGCAATTCCTCAGTGGACAAGGGAAGAGCTACGGATGTCGTCTATCTGAACTTCTGTAAGGCCTTTGACCCGGACCCCCACAACATCCTTCTCTCTGCATTGGAGAGAGATGGATTTGACAGGTGGACTGTTTGGCAGATGAGGAATTGGTTGGCTGGTCACATACAGAGGGTAGTGATTAGCAGCTCAAAGTCCAGATGGAGATTGGTGACAAGAGGTGCCCCTCAGGGGTCCATATTGGAACCAGTACTCTTTAATATCTTCATCAGTGATATAGGCAGTGAGATTCAGTGCACACTCAGCAAGTTTGCAGATGACACCAGGCTGAGTGGTGCGGGTGACACACCTGAGGGATGGGATGCCATCCAGAGGGACCTGGACAAGCTCAAGGAATGGGCCCATGTGAACCTCATGAGGTTCAACAAGGTCAAGTGCAGGGTCCTGCACTGGCAACCCCCAGTATCAGTACAGGCTGGGGGATGAAGGGATCAAGAGTAGCCCTGCCGAGAAGGACTTGGGGGTACTGGTGGATGAAAAGCTGGACATGAGCTGGTAATGTGTGCTCACAGCCCAGAAGGCCAACCGTATCCTGGGCTGCATCCAAAGCAGCGTGGCCAGCAGGTCAAGGGAGGTGATTCTGCCCCTCTAACTCCACTCTGGTGAGAGCCCACCTGCAGTGCCGCATCCAGCTCTGGAGCCCTCAGCACAGGAAAGACATGGACCTGTTGGAGAGGGTCCAAAGGAGACCACAAAAACAATCAGAGGGCTGAGCACCTCTCCTGTGAGGACAGGCTGAGAGAGTTGGAGTTGTTCAGCCTGGAGAAGAGAAGGTTCCAGGGAGACCTTATTGCAGCCTTTCCGTACTTAAAGGGGGCTTATAAGAAAAATGGGGACAGACTTCTTAGCAGGGTCTGTTGTGATAGGACAAGGTGTAATGCTTTTGAATTAAAAAAGGGTAGATTCAGACTAGATATAAGGCAGAAATTGTTGACAAATTAGCGTGGGTGAAACACTGGCACAGGTTGCCAAGAGAGGTGGTAGATGCCCCATCCCTGGAAACACTGAAGGTCAGGTTAGATGGGGCTCTGAGCAACTTGATCTAGTTGAAGATGTCCCTGATCATTGCAGGTGGGTTGGACTAGATGGCCTTTAAAGGTCCCTTCCAACCCAAACTATTCTGTGATTCTATGATTCTATCATCAGCAGTCTAGTTGGGCTGCCATCAAACACAGCATAGACTGAGGACCCTAACTCTTCTTTTTAGAAATCTCAATGGAAAATACGAGAAAGCCAGATGTGATTTTTTTTGTTTGTTTTTTTAGTGTTTGCTGCCTATTTCCGGAGTTTTTAGGCCCTTTCTAAATCCTAACTTTCAAGTTTTGATCCTCAAACAATTTAAAGTTCTGTCCTGTCCTGTTTGGTTTCCCTCTTCCATTTTTACTTCCCTCTCATTTTTTTTTTTTATTTCAGTGATTTTCAGGCAGTGAACCTCTTGGGGTTGTCAGTCAATCTCTTCCTAGCGATCTGGGAAAGGTCACTAAGAAAAATAAAATAATAAATGCCACATTTGAGGTATCCCCAAAGAGATCTGTACTGCCAGTGGAAAGTGTCATGGATCCACAACTGAAAATGGGTGAAAACCACTGCTTTATTCCCTCAAACACAACTGTTCACTTTAGAATCACTCGGACTATATGGGGAAGGGGCCCCAGGAGATGCAGTGTGACTTTTTAGGAATGAAACCCACGTGTTTGGCCAAACAACCAAAAAAAATTCATCTTTGGATAGAGACAGTCTTACAGTAAGACACTCCAAGAAACGCTGTGCAGAGGTTTGCCCAACTCCTGCTGTCCCAAGCACAGATAGGGTGCTCAAGGGCAGGAAGGCTCTGCAGAGGGATCTGGACAGCCTGGATCGATGGGCAGAGGTCAATCGTATGAGGCAAGGCCAAGTGCCAGGTCCTGCACTTGGGTCACAACAACCCCATGCAATGCTACAGGCTTGGGGAGGAGTGGCTGCAGAGTTGCCCGGCGGAAAAGGACCTGGGGGTGCTGGTTGACAGCCGGCTGAATATGAGCCAGCAGTGTGCCCAGGTGGCCAAGAAGGCCAACAGC